TATATATATATATATTATAGCTGATATTACGATGGCCATTTATGTGAAACCAATTATTGATAACTTCAATGTAATGAAAAAGCACCTAATACATTTTAAAATGCATATTCTTAATTTTTACATATATGTATGTAAAAATTGAAGTTTAGGTGTTAGGTGTGTATATATATAAGGATATATATAAGAATTTAGTGATATTTATGAAATGCATATATATATATATATATATATATAATGTGGTATGCATGTAAAAAATTGAAGGTTATTGAGGGTCCAGGTTTTAGCATTGGGCTTTATATAAATTATTATGGACTACATTTTTAAATATTTTTAGACTATATTTCAAGCTCAAATAATTTTTCAAACATCCCTTGAAAGCTCCATCCATTCAAAGGATTTGAAACAACAAAGCTACACATAGTTTGGTGCTTGCGATACCCTACATAGCATCATGGTGCTAGGCCTAGCATCGTGTGCTCCAGTTAGCTTTTATATATAGTTAAGTTTGAGGGGTGTATTTGACATAATGTGAGGATAACTTTTAGAGCAGCTTGGAGAGCCTATAGTGAAAAAATTAGGAAGAGAGCTCGTCCTTCTTCTCCTCTTCTTCGTTATGTTATTTTAGCTTAGTGAGAGCCACTTAACCACCTTACAAAGACAATGAGAATGAACTTTCTCTCCATCTCTTTCTCTTCAAAGTTGAAGTAGATTTCTACTTAAATCTTGGAGAAAATCTTAAAAAGGAGTAATTACCAACTCATAAATTTTCTTGTTTATGCATAGAGGACTTGTGAGATGGAAGTTGTCTTCAACCCCATGATGGTGAGATCTTCTTTATCCTTTTATTTACTTAAAGCCCCTAAGTTGAAGACAGATTTCTATGGCATGCTAGTGTTATAGAAAGATCGTAGGGTAAGAAGGTCACCATATTTTTGTCATCATTTCCTTTAAGTGATTCCAAGCTCTGCTTCTCCCTTATCTCTAATCTCTTGAAACTCATTTTTCACTTTAATTCTTTTGGTTATGAGATCTCTCTTCAGAGAAATCTCCATAATCCTAAAATAACTAAAGTGAGTTTATATTTAGTTTATAACCATTACATTGGAATGGAAACAATGGTTAAATATGCTCCATCCCTTTAACCCTTTAAATACTAACCATATATTATTTTATTCAATTAAATTTAGCTCCCACAAACTACTAAGCATAATTATCCACATTGACTAATTTTTATTTTGTGTAATAGTTTTACTGACGCGTAAAACTACATCTATGCTACTGATGGATATCTGTAATTTAAGAGTTGTGATGTATATCAGATTATATCCAGAATGAAAAGGATTTACAAATGAGTTCTTGAATGACGTTGAGGAATTCGTGCAGGTGGCATCATATATGTTTATCTATCGTTCTGAGGGTAAGTTTCAGTTTTCTTATGCGAAGCACAAAAATCAAGCACTTCTGCCACCCGAAGAAGTTAAGTTAGATCTTTACCGCAAGGGATTTAAACCTAATTATTGGTATTGGACTACACATGGTAAGCAAGAATCTGAAGTTCAGTTGAATCAAGGAGGTGCCTCGATAAGTTATGCCCCCCATGCAGAAAAATTTGATCTTAACACTCATGAAAAAATGGTTAATGATGCTCAAAGAGCTCAGTTTATTGGAAGCATTCAACGCGAGGATAAATCACCAAATAACAAATTGCAACGGTTCCATAATTTACTGGATGCTTCACAACAAGCTTTATGGGATGGTTCCACCACACATACAGAGTTATCAGCAGCGCTAAGAATGTTGATCATCAAATCTGATTTTAACATGCTCAAAGAAGCATTCAATCATGTTGTAACTTTATTGAAAGAGACTAACCCTACATGGAATTTAGTGTCGGATGACCTGCACATAACAAAATAGTTGGTTTCAAAATTAGGATTACGATGTGAGAAGATCGATTGCTGTGTTAATGGGTGCATGAGATATTACAAGACTGATGCAGTAGAGACGACTTACAAATTTTATAGTGTGGATAGACTCAAATAATGGTGGAGAAAGAATAAAAATCTAAAAATAATTCATACAAGCATCTATTTTATTTTCCGCTCAAACCCTTGCTTCAGAGGTTGTTCACTTCCATGTGTACAACCCCACACATGACTTGGCACAATATTGGATCTATTGGTATTAACTCAATGAGTCATTAGTCACATAGTGAGACCTGGAGACATTTTGATTTTACTTACCCAGATTTTGCGGATCGCTTCACCCCGTATAATCACACTGCAACCCCGTACTCATGTTGGTTAGTGATCATTATGCCATATAAGTTACCCCAAGATATTTGCATGACCGTGTCATTCTCATTTATGACATTGATCATACTAGGTCCATATAGACTGAGGAGAAAACATGATTTCTACTTACAACCTTTGATTGAAGAGCTTCAAATGATATGCGAGTCGAGTGTGATTACATATGAAATCATTACAAAGTAGATATTTCAATTGTGAGTGGCTCTTATGTGAAAAATTGAGGCAAATCTTAGTGATTTCTTGGCCTATAGGATTCTAGCTGGTTGGAGCATCGCTAAGAAAATTATTTTCCTTACTGCATGAATATGTCGAAGGCATATTTACTTTGGAACATGGTAGAAAAAAATAACCGGTTCAACTGCCACCAAATATTTCTAAGCCATAATCACCAGTTTTGAAGGAATAAAAATGCATTCTTCAAAAATAAGGTTGAGAGATCAAGTCCATCCCCCAAGCTTACTGGGTCAGAATATTGAAAATGATCAGTAAAGTGTTGAAGATCACCGACATACTTGAGCTAGCTTCAACTTGTCTTCCTGCTTTCAATGTCACACATAAGTGGATGAAGCACGGTATATTCTGTGATCATTTGTATTGGAATACTAATCTTATCAGACATAATATCGATGTTATGTACATTAAGAAGAATTTTTATGATAACAACTTCAACACTTTGATGTATATCAAGGGTAAGACAAAATAATGGACTTGAAAGAGTGTTGCAAAAGGAGGACCTTAGAGCTGTACGAGACAAATGGAGGTAAATTAATAAAGCCTAAGCTGCATATTGTTTTATACCAGATTAACAGAGAAGAAGTTTTGAGTGGTTTAATTCTCTGAAGTTTCCTAGTGACTGTGTTTTAAATTTAAGCCGTTGTTTTCTTGGGAACGGGTAATGTAATTGACATGAAAATTCACAACTGTCATATATGTTTGCAGTGTTTATTACTCATTGGATTTCATGCACCTTCAAAGCTGGTTCTCAATACCTTGATCGAAGTCAGTTTGTTTTTTAGAGAGTTGTGTGTGGAGATATTGAATGTTGACTCATTAAGACATCTTGATTTGAGTGCTCCTCTTTTCTTATGTAAGCTTGAGTATATATTTCCTTCTGGTTTCTTCGAATCTATGAAGCATCTACTTATGGATTTATGTTATGAGGCCATACTAGGGGGGCTGATGCAGTACATATGGATGCATCCCTTCAAGAGGTATGTCTTCCTGATGAAAACATTGCAAATAGCATTTTATTTCACACTAAATGACTACCTTATTCAATGTAAAATTTATGTGTTGCGTCTTTTTAAATAAAATAAAAAAATCTTTTAAGAATAAGGCACATCCTGAGGGATTGATCTGTGAAACATATATGTTGCAGGAGACGATAAGTTTCTGCTCATATTATTTTGAGAAAAATCGTCAATGAGTTTATATTTTAGGTGACATGCCTTAATGGCAAAATTATCTGTTCATCAAATTTCAGGTGAGTCATTAGGGAGGCATGACACACGATATCTAAGCAATAAAGAGATTAAGGCATCTGCATTGTACATCCTGATGAACGGCGATAAAGTACAACCATTTATATAGTAAGATTCACGGTCCCCAAACTCAATGTATACTGTCATTTATGATTAAGAATGTTAATTATATACTGACAATTTATAATACAAAGTACAATATTGTGAGTAGATTATTTATTGACAGCTTAAACATGGAGGATGAGTATTTGATAAGCAGGAAGTTTAAAGCAGGATTCCTAACATGGTTCAAATTATATGTACACACAATGAACACTTCTAATCATGCGCATAACATGATCGTTGCATTTAAAGTTACACTAATGAAACCTCTCTATTTGTTATAGGTTCAAAAGATAATAAACAAAATATCAAAGATTACTAAATCTTGCCTATGAGCCTAATCATGGTGTGACTACATAGTGAATATTTGAGATGAGCGATTAAACATTCCACAAGAGTTCCTACTAAGAAGGGAGAAAGACATGTTTTTATTTTAAAGAGTCTATTATGTTTATTTTTCATGATATATGCTTTTGGTAACTAATCTGTTTCTTAAGCAGATTCATACCCCATAAGCTGCTCGTCACCAGCATCACAAAGAATATCAGGAGCAAGTACAATGAGCCATATCTATCATGGAAGCAAATACATGTAGCCACTTGGGGCATGTGATTCAGAGAGTCTGAGGTACGGTCATGTAATTTGAATCATATTTATAAATTTGATCAAATTTTTTATACTAACACATGGATTATTTTTTACATTGCAGAGGTCCTTCACTTGGCTCCCAAAGCATCACCGCCAGATTTGTCAAATCTTAGAAACTTAGGGTAGATATCGTCTTGACAACATATTCACGATAGCCCATTAGGGGGTGAGCGGTCTGCCTGGATTGGTGAGAGGCTCTGGGGTCAGTTGACCACATCTTGGGTCTCTCCAAATTGTGAGAGGAGGAGGCAAATGAAATCGGTGAACCGGGCGATGGTGGGTCAAGGGGAGTTGCGCTCCATGTTAGCAGATCAGTCTCCCATACAGAACACTCTACATAATGCATTTTAGATATTTAAACATTAATTTAATTTTTTGAGTAATTTTTTTAGCGTTAACCATTTTTGTACGCTACACAGGCCAAGGAGTTAAGTTGTTCTCTCTCTGTTTCAGAGTTGCATGCTTGAACTCATCGGTGTCTAGAGACTATGCAGTGAGTCTCAGAGCATTCTCAGTGGGTTGTTGTAAGTTAAAAACCTTAAATTAAAAGTTTATTTTGACTATAGTTGTTGATAGTTTCAATTAAATGTTGGCTTTCATTATGCAGGAGGAGTTCGAGCAGCTCTGGGAGAGGCACTTGGCCACTCAGGCCCAAACTAAAGCTAGCAGTAGTGGTAGTCAGTCCACCACTACATAGTTTGAGTTCGAGCTTTGGACTTTAGCGGCAGGGAGGAAGAAGGTGAGGATTTATGGCCTTGAAGCGAAGCACGTAGCCTTCAAAGGCGAGCTCTTTCGTGGTCCTATTCATAGTTCTCCGAGTTTTTCATAGTCAGACCAGGATGCTCTTGCCAGATAGGTGGTTGCAATGATATCCGCTAGTTGCGTGAACAGATGCTACAAGGCCAACATAGAGTGAATGACTCTATAACGCGCATGACAGAGACCTTAGCAGATAGTCGAGGCAAGAAGCCGATGACATCCGTGCAGAAGGAGGATGGAGATGATGAGTAGTTTTTTTATGTTTTCTTTTATTCATAAGCATTATGTTAAACTTTTGTTGTGAAATTTTTTTGGAGTAATCTTACTATTCTTATTTAGAACGATTTTTGACAGTATCTTCCTTTTTATTAATGATCTGTTTCGAGATTTGATATGTAATATTACTATGCTTAATGTGGTATGTGATGTGCAATGTGTTTTTTTTAAGGTTGTGAAAATGTAATTGATATTTTAAATTTTTTTTCTATGTTACAGGTTTGCATCGAATTTACATCCGTTTTCAGACTGAAAATCCAACGTTATATCTACAATAATTTTTTCGTTGTTTTATCATATTTTCTGTTCCAAACGCAACGACAATTCAACACTAAGTTTCATCATCGGCTATCTTCATATGCAAATTTCGATGCGTGTTACGTATAATACAACGCAACAATAGATGCAAATTATTTCCGTCAGAATATTTTGATGTAAATTAGACGAAAATAAAATTACCGACCCCTGATTTAACATTTGAAAAAATCAGACAAAAATCAAACGTAAATCCGACGCTAACCCCTAAAATCATTGGAGTTGCATCCGACTTGCATTTCATCCGTCCGACACAAATATGTTAAATTGTTGTAATATGTTAAATTCTAGTTTTGTCATTCCCTCTCACCCACCTAATTTACTGCATCAGGAAGTCATATTGTCAATATTGATATTGCCGAATGATTCAACTTATATAAATAAACAAAATATTTAGTTAATAAATTAAAGGTAATTATTTATATCAAAACATAAATAAAACACAAATTGGTCCTAAACAATTTTTAAATATTTTTTTAAATATTTTTATATTTTATATGGAACCTTTTTGAGTGAAGAGGTCCATTGTACAACTTTAATAAAAATTAAAAATAAAAACATTAAGTTGCAACCACTAACTAATCATTTCTCTATTATATTGTATTCTTTTAAGCTCAGTCAAAATTTAGGACACGTTCTCCTCGCTTTCTGGTTGATTTCCATGTGGTGGATATAAGAGGCCGCAGCTGCAAGTTATTGTCTTTCTTCGACATAAGCCTTCAATAGTTTTATTTTCCTTGAAATATGACGACGCTTCACTTGCCAACAACAAAATTTTATCATTCGATATGAATTTTGAGGCATGACATAGATTTTGGTATTACTTTTTGAATAAGAAATATTCAAACCTCAATAAAAAAGTCATCCAGAACTCCCATTTCGACAAAATTAAAGTCAAGCTAACCAGCTCGACAAGAAGAACCCAATGTTACAAAAATCGGTCCAATCCGAACCAAATCCAGCATTGATCAAGCCATTAAACCATTTTTAAAAATTTTCTAAACACATTTTGAAGATCAAACGA